AAAAAAAAAAAAAAAAAAAAAAAAAAAAAAAAAAAAAAGAGATTGTGATGAAGAAACAGGCTTAGGACAGAACAGAGACTGGAAGTTAGGGTTTTGGGATGTTAGTTCTCGTACTTATAAAGAAGATTTTGGAGGTGGAAGTTAGGGTTTTGGGATGTTAGTTGAAGATTTTGGAGGTATATGTAATAGTAAAAATATAAAACTGATTAACGGTTCACAAAAGGGGATGTAGCTCAGATGGTAGAGCGCTCGCTTAGCATGCGAGAGGTACGGGGATCGATACCCCGCATCTCCACTTTTTCTTCCATATCTTCTTTTTAGTAAAAGAAATAAAGATAATCACCACAGAACTGTATCTACTCTATTAAAATAGAGTCACTTTTTTATCTACTACAAATAAGTCATATAGGACCATTTCATTAATTACTTAGTATGACATATTATATTATTTAGGTTAATCAATCAAATATATATCATATATGATGAAAATAATAGATTTACATTTTATTTTGTAGTTATAACAGAATCGGTTGAGAGAAAATCTAACAAAATCTTACTAAAAGTTTAAATATTTTTTATTAATTAACATAATAATAAATTTCGTAATTAATAATATCATACTATTATACATTAATATTAATTATAATTTCACTATAATAACAAAAAAGAATCCTATACTATTTTATAAATTTCATATTATAGTCTATGTTATATTAAATAGAATCACTATGAATTAAATAAAATAAAATAAATAAAGTTGGTAAATGAAACTTTATTTTAAAATTTATTTCACTTAAATAAAAAAAATTATTCACCATTAAAAGGATTAACATCATAAATTATGTATATTTTTTATACAAAAAAATGTTAGCATAATGTTAATTTTTTGCTATATCTTATTTTTTACTTAATTTAAAACTCACAAAAAGATATTATCTAAACTGATTATATAAAAAATATAATAGTATATAACTAACTTTTAGTTCATGTGTTATTTAAAAAAGATAGGATATCAGAAAGTTTTACTAATTCAGAAGATATTAGTGAAAAATATTTTTAACTGAAAATTTAATATTTTTATTATAAAATAATATGTTGAGAAAATATAAAAATATAAAAACATTTTATATTAATAATGTTGAATAACAAAGTAAAAAACTAAAGAATATTACATATTAATAATGTTGAATAAAAACCTACACAAATTAGATAACAAATTTACACAATATATAACATAAAAATATAAATTTTATATTTAAAAATTTCTACATTAATATTAAATAAATTTTTAAAAACGAAAAATATATCTGCACGAAAGTGCGGGTAAAAACTCTAGTTTTGTTATTTAAAACATCTCTTTAGAACCTTTAAGAAGATACCATCAAACGTCTTTGTTACTTCCACAATTACCCAAAGAAAAAACTAAGAAGCTATCTACTTGATGGCTGTGATAACCACTTGAACTATACCAAGAAGCATCTAAATCATTCATGTGATCAACTCATCATAAACACAAAAGCTTTTTTTTTTCCTTTATCATTGCCACGGAATTAGCAATTAAGATTTAAGACAAAGAAGTTTTTCTGAATCGAAAGACATGTTCATACATTTTAGAGAGTTGTTTTTATAACTAAACTCATTTCCTGTTTCAGATTACACAGTGACAAGAAGCTTCTTCCTTAAGAAGATGCGACTTGAGCATTCTTCAACACTTCTTTGCCCGGCGTCTCATTCTCTGACGCTCGAATCCCTTCCTCAATTCGCTACAACACACCAACAACAACGAACATGGTCACGTTGAGGATTAAAGCTTTTTGAAAATTTCTAAACTCTTTTCTTACCTGAAGAAGATAGTTGTGAAGCCAATCTAGTGTCTGTGGGAAAGTAGTGGCCGATATATTTACAACTGTCACTCCCTGTAACAGTGGTTAAAAAAAACAGTGAAGCCTGAAAGAAAAAGTTGGAGTGATGAAGGACTAAACAAACCTGTGTATTAAAGGAGCAAAGGTAGTCTTCAATGGTCTTTAGGTTTGTGATTAGTCTCTCTTTCTCCTGCAAAAACAAAGAGCAAACATAACAAACTGTGTTCATAAAACTTTCAAGATCAGTTTAGTGAAGGGCTTGAGGTTTGTTTATTATACCTTAGATGTATATTTATCTCCAGATGTACGTGAAGAGATCCACTCCTCTAGCAAAGCCTGATATAACAAAATTCAAGAAATTCAACAACTGAGAAAGACTAACTTCCTGCCTCATAAAAACTGATTCACCTTATGATCAAACTCAGCCATCTTTAGAACAATGGATATGACTATAGGCTCAGGACCAGATTTCGCTTTTCCTTTTCCATCAGCAGCTTTTCTTTTCTCTTCGTCTTCTTTTTTTTTGTAGATGAAACGAAACACAGCATTACACAGAATCAAATGCAAAGAAACTTCATAGGAAAGCAAGGGAGAATGAATGAGAATACTATAAACAAATACCATCGATTTTACATTCTGTAACTTGTTCAGATAGTTCATCTTCCACAGAAGTCATGTCTTCACTCTGAGAATGAGGCTCTGAAGCACTACTATCTTCGGTTTCTTTAGTGTTTGAAGAACCTGCCTCGGTGTTTTCCTCCGAGGTTACATCTCCTCCTGAAGAGTTGGTTTCTTTGCTATTCTTCTCGGCATCATTTGATGGAGCTTTGTTCTCATCGTTCATTAAGTATATGCTTGGATCTAAATGTCTTCCCTGTAAAATTATTCATAACCAAGATTTTATAAAATCAAGCTGAAACATAAGCTTTTCAGAAAAGAAACTTTACCTCAATTATAATGGGTTTCCCATCTTTCATTGCCTTCTTCAAATCACCAGCAAGTCCTAAGCAACAACAACAACAACAAACCATTTGTGATTTTCAGGAACGCAACAAATCCACAAACACTAAAGTAAGGAAGTACCTTTACGAACAATTCTGCATTCTCTACAAAACTCAGTTATCAGCTCCTCTGATGATCCGAACTCTCGTGTCCATACAGGGGTTGATGTCAAAGGAGCACTACATTAAAACAAAAACAATACTTTATATCTAGTCAGACTAGAGGATGGTAAGAATGTGAAACAAATTAGAAATGTTGTAAACAACCGCAAATCAAAACTTGAAGAAAGCAAAGAGAGCAAAACGATGAGGCAAATACCCGTTTAGACTTTGTATATTACTATGTGAATGAATAACTTTACAACCCCTTAAACCCATATTTATATCAGCCTCAAACCCGATTTACTTTATCCTTTAGGAATACATACTTATCCAACGAATAATGGGTTTTTACTGGTGCACAGAGATTCAAGACACTTCCAAAATTAACAAGAAAGAAGCAGAAACTTACTCAGTTGCTGTACGGAGCAGCTCATACACCATGTCAGTCTGTAGAACAGAAGAGAGAGCACATAAGATTTGAAAAAACAAAAGAAAAACAAATGAAGAAAGGCTATTGAGTGATAATACATGTAAGACGTTAGGCAAGTTAAGTCTCTGAGCAAGTTGTGTAGCTATTGTGGACTTGCCAACACAAGCTGTTCCACACACAAGTATCACAAGAGGTACTCTCTGATGATGAAATCTATAACCACCAAATGTTTTTACAAATATCAAAACTTTAACAGTAAAAAAAGACAAGACAGAAACATATGTATATATAGTTAGCAATTACTTTGTCATCATATTGTAGCGATTAACATACTCCTTCCCATACCCTCGTCGCTCCATAAGCTACAAATTTGAATCAGAACAGTTAAAAAACGTTTTTCACAAGACCATCTAAGATATGTAATGCATCCATTTACCATAAACAAACTGGTTTCCAAATCTTTCTGAGACCTGCAAAAGACAAAAACGAAGCAAACAACATCGTTAACAAGAAGAAAAACAAGACTAATTGTATTAATGACAAAGAAGATCATACACATCAAGAAGACTGTTGTCAATGAGAAGCTTCTTTAGCTCAAGAGCAATCTTCACAGCCACGTGATTTGGAATCTGAATCAATGCTATGTAAAATCAATCAATACATCTTAGTAGAACCTAACCTAATTGAGTTGAAATTGGACAAACCTTAGTTACAGTTAACATTCTACAGACCAAGAACCGAGACAGAACATAGTAATGATCTGCATCTCCAAGCCACACCTTCACCTGAAAATTTTGTTGATTAAATTAAACCTAATTAAAACTTTTTGAATGAAGAAGAATCACAGAAACAAATTTAAAAAAAAATTGAACCTTGACGAAATCGTATTTGGAAGAAGCGTTACGAGGAGAAGAAGGGACAGAAGAGAATGGTCTGATGTTGATTTCTCGAGGAGGCTCGTGTTCACCGTTAGGGTTGTTTGATGCTGATCCTGAAGAGCCAGATGATTCTTCTCTGTCTTTCATCTTCCCAGAGACGTAAAACGAGACCAAGAAGTTTTTTTTTTTTTTTTGCTCGATCGGTCTTGGTGATGATGTTTTTATTACTCTTGTTTATGTTTCCGACAATCTGAAAGAGGTTTCAGGTTTCTTTCTTTTCTAGTATTTAAGTTTTGTAATGATAATTATTAGGGAAAATTCTATATAAATAGTCCAACTAAATTTTATTAAGGTTTTTAATACTTAAATTTTTTTGCTATCCAGTTTAATATCCTAACTAATTATTTTGCACATTTTAATGCATAAACTTTTATAAATGTATCCATTTTAATATCCAAGTTTTGTTTATTTTAATTAACAATACGACTAAGTTTTCAATAAAAAATTTAAAATTTCTAAACTTTACAAAAAAATTGATTTTATTATATGTTAGAGAAATGAAATTAAATAATTTTTTTATAATCTTAAGTTTTGTAATAAGTTTTTAAAGTTTTATATGTTGAATTTAGTTTATTTTCTGAAATAAAAAGTAAATTATTTTTTTTCCTTCAAGATTTTTTTTTTAAAACATTTAAATTTTCTCCAGAGTTTATTTACCTTATTTCTTAAATATTAGAATAAACTTAGAAATTTTAAATATTTTTTCTTAAATTTTGGAGTTTTTTAAAAATTTTGTTTGAAACTTATTAGTATTGTTAATTAAAATAAACAAAATTTGGATATTAAAATGAGCACAGTTGTAAAAGTTTGTATATTAAAGTAGACAAAATTATTAGTTGAGGTATTAAACTGGATAGTGAAAAAATTTGGGTATTAAAAAACTTAATAAAATTTAATTAGGTTATTTATATGAAATTTTCCCTAATTATTAGCTCTATATTAAGAATTGAGCCCATGTTTAGTTGGGCCAGACCATAACATTCCTTATACTAACATATCGTTAACTAGTTCTGTAAAAATATATTTTTGTGAACAAAAAAGGGTTAAATAACCATTCAATTTGTTTTTCTTTTTGAAGAAAACCAGTCAATTTGTTTTTAGGGAAATCTCAGTTTATTTTTTAATCAATGTTTTATGAATTGAACGTATATATACAATGCACGTAGAATTATCGATTATAGTATCGTCTTTATATACTTTTTATAATTTTTAATAGCATAATTAACTAGACAAAAAAATATTCTAGTTTTTATCAAGCCCCTTACTCTCATCACATTTATACAAAAGAGTTCACTTTTTCTATGATTGCATGGCAATAACATATTATGACCAAAACTTAACAATTACAACGTTTAGTACTCTCGTTTTAGTTTAACAATATTTAAGTTTTTCATTGTTTCATTGATCCCCGAGTACCTACTACCTAGAGAAATAGTTTAGGTATACGCAAGCATGTGGCTTGATGATATTTATATTTGAGTATTTGTATTGTAAAGTATCTTGTTGCAGGTGGCCTGATGATATTTGAGCATGGGTCAGTAGGAGTCTACTGACCAGCGATCCAACACACACACATACCCCCAAATGAAAAGAAAAGGAAAAATAGATTTGTAAAAGGCATACCCCCTAAATTAAGAGATGAACATATTGTGTAAATGATCAAAAACAGATGCGAATCAATGGTTCTAAAAACACATTATTTAAGTATTGGATATGCCGAGCATGGCTGGTCATGATCAAACATTCACTTTGAGTCCCTAAATTTTTTGAAAAAAATTACATTGATATAGGCTAAAATTTTTTTTTTAGATTCCTAAATTTATATTTTTTTTTAACTGAAATCTTTAGCCTCTTAAATCTCATGGCTGGCCCTGTGACTGAATGATCAAACACCAAATTCAATATAAATTGAATTGCTTTTGAAAATAAAAAATCTAGAATCGTATATAGATAAGTATATATACGCAATTTTGTAATTGCAATAGAAACTTGATTATATTTAATTTTTATTTAATGTCCCAGATCCATCTAACTGGATAAGTTGGACTGTTTAAATCTAAATCAAAACTGATAAATTTATAATGTAGCTCGAAAGAGTCCCAAGAAACTATAGAATTTTTTGGATTACTTAGGAGTTTATGGAGCAAGTCACTAATGAGTTAAGTTAGATTCCATCTGTTTCATAAAGATGTATGTTTTATAATTTTTATAAAGTTAGATAACATGTGAAATTTTGATTACCAATTTGTTTTTTGTAATAATTAACTATTCCCCATAACTTTTAACTAACTAAATTTCAATATCTAAAATTATGTTATTTTAAAGTTTAGAAGTTATCATTAATAAATATATTGAAAATGTAAATTTTGTTTTTTTGGAAAAAAAATTGAAACAAATTTGTTTGAACTGTGAGAGACTGTTACAAAAAAGTATTTTTAAAAACCATTTTTTTCTAAAACATTTATTTTTCGGAACAAATGGATACGTTTGTTCAAAGACATGATTTGATCATATAATATATATTTAAGTTTTGTTCTTTTTCAGGTTAGTTAATGACAATTGGTATTTGAAATCATTTCTAGTCAAAAACTTCAATGTTACTTATTTTTTTGCTTGCCATCAGGCAAAGCAACGTGAGATAATCGAAGTGGCATCGGCAGAATAACATATATTTTCCTGCGAGTAATTAAATTAGAAGGACAAGACTAATTAAACTTAGGGTTTGTCTTTGTCCTCCCTGCACAAGAAGAGTTTGACCAAAAGGAGACTAAATCATCAAGGTATCTAATTTATGAGTCAGTTCATTCATTTCTCTTTCCACCAATTATATTGTTCTTCACATATTTTCCTGGTCGCTTTGTGTCATTCTTGAAATTCTTTTAAGCGAATCTTGACACATTTTATAAAAAGGGGTTTTGTTGGGCTTCTCTTCTTTTATCTTTCCCAGATCTTACATCTTTTTTCATTGGGAAGTTTATCACCCTAACTTTTCTGGTACAGCTGATCTTGTCTTTGGATCTTCCTCTTGTTATTAATTCAGAAACAGTTTCTTCGTTTGTATTTAGATTTTTTTTTTTTTAAGTCGTTCAGATTTAGGGTTTCATATGGATTACTAATCTTGACAGGAACAAGATGGTGAGAGGGAAGATAGAGATAAAAAGAATTGAGAACCTGACAAGCAGGCAAATCACTTTCTCCAAGCGTAGGAAAGGTCTCTTGAAGAAAGCTCACGAGCTTTCAGTTCTATGTGATGCTCAAGTCGCAGCCATTGTCTTTTCTCAGAAAGGAAAACTATACGATTTCGCTAGCTCCGAGTAAGCAATCCAATCAATAATCATCAATGAATCTTTTGTTCTTGCTTTACTTTGATGATTCTTGTAGTTAGTATAGTGACATATAGGCTATATAGCTTTGTTTATCTCCAACTCTATAGCTAAATGCAGCTGCTAAATTTTTATTTTTCAACAATATGCCTTTTTTTTTTAAATGTTGGTCATATTTTTTTTTCTAACGGCTTTAATGTTAGTCATATAAATGTTCTGTAATTTACTTTATCAATTAACGAAGTTTTTATTTATATGAATTAAAACTTTCATCACAATCAGTTTACCAGATGCTTTCCTTAGCTTAATTAAGTTTTTATTTAGATGAATTCGAATAGTTTATAGGGCTTTCCAGAAAAGTGTTATTGAACTTTGAACCTAGTATGCCTTGGAACTCATGCTGAAACAACTTGCCATTTTTATAATTATATTAAAGTAATTCCTAGTGTTTGTGCCATACTTTAAGAGTACAATTGGACCGTTTAAAAAAATCCCTACATCATGTATGAGATAAAATCTTGTAGATTCCTGCTAGGGTCTCAACTATATATCTCTCGATATAGTTTTCATGATTCTTTATTGGTGTTGATCATTTAGTTGTAAATTGGATAATCTTAAACCAAATCCAAATATCTGGGAGTTTCAAATGATGCCTCTAAAGATTATCAAACGCCAGTACTGATCGGTTATGTGAAACCACATGTTATAGCCACTTAGCTACATTTGAAATGAGTTTGATAATTAGAATCTCTTGCTACAATATTTCATTTGTAATTTCGAGTTTTACAAATGGTTTTGAAAGTTTCAATCAAATTGTTGGTAGGCAGTGAAAGGTGTGTGTAGCCTTATGCTATGTAAAGCTTTTAATGTTGAGTTTGTAACGGTCCTAGTCCACAATATATATAGGTCATGCCGTCATGCTTACAAGTATCACTGGTTAGTTATAAAGAGGAAACCTAGACATATTACTTCTCTATACACTTTTGTATCTCAGATATTTGTTTAGTAATCTCTTCTCCTTATGTACGTAATTTCTCCTAAAAGATTCAGTTATACTAGTCCTAAGTATCTACAGCGTGTATTTAATTTACGTTTGAAAAATATATAACAACGTGTAATTAGGTATACTACTTCACTATTTTTCTGAAAATTTTCTCTGCTATTCTAAAATTCTTTCTGAAACAATAGATGCATTCATTGTAAAAAGGTTTTTTGAAGTGAATAAATTTAAAATTCATTGAAAAAAGTATGCATAACATTCCATGATTTCTTGCATGTGTGAATGTTCAAGTTGGCATATGATAACATTTTCGGAAGTTAATATACATGCTAATAAATAATAATATTAATGATGAAGAGGTTAACTTGAACATAATTCAGCATGAAGAAGATGATGGAACAATGTGAGATATATGATGAGAGACGCCAAGGAGACAAAGATGTGCATGACCTCAAGAACGAAATCAATGTAATGGTGAACAAGATTGAACTTCTTCAACTTCATTGCCGGTTAGCTTTTGATATTTCTATATCTACTGTACATGTGTTTATGATGCAATATACGTTTGTAAATAATACACTCATGAACGCGATGACATGCATCTTAGAAAGCTTATGGGGCAAGATTTAGGTTCTTGTTCGGCGGAGGAGCTCAACGAAATAACGATCCAGATTGAGAAAAGCCTTACTCTTGTCAGATCAAGAAAGGTAAACTTACATTGAAATTTAATAAAAACATAAATATATAGTACTTTTTCAAATCTTTATACGATGTATTTAAAAATAAAGGTCTTGGACTATGATTAACCCGGGTTCTTAGAGCATGATTAATCCCGGGGTTCTTAGGGTGGAGTTATTAGCGGAAGTTAAGAAACTATTTTTTTAATTTTTAACTAAAAACGCTAAGAACCGGTTCTTAAAATCTTTATTTAAGAACCGATTCTTAAAATCCTTATTTAAGAACCGGTTCTTAGCGTTTTTAGTTAAAAGTTAAGAAACAGTTACTTAACTTCCGCTAAGAACCCCACTCTAAGAACCTCGGGTTAATCATGGTGTTATACCTCTTATTTAATTGACGTTTTTAGCTTTTCTTTCTTAAAAACTAAAAAAAAAACTAATAATCGTCTTTTATCCGAAGTTAAAAACCCAGTTAATAGACTAGAGTTAATTATGGTCTTAAGTTAAGAGACTAGAGTTAATTATGGTATTAGGATGAAGTTTTTAACGGAAATTAAAAAACAGTTTCTTAACGTTTAACTTCCGCTAAGAACTCATCCTAAAAACCCCGGGTTGGGATGTCTTTATATAAGTTTCTAAGTGATTAACTATCATCAAACCAGTTTATTGATCTTCTGGATTCTACCAAAACAAATTGCAGGCTAAAGTACATGAAGATGAGGTAAAGAAACTAAAAACGGAGGTGATATTTACTAATTTGTACTTTAGTTGGTTCTTAGTGGTATTGAATTTCTAATATTCATTAGTTGTGGTTTGACCTCATTAGATTACAGGAGCGAGAGAGCTCTTGAACGAGAGAACTACGCTGCACGAAATGGTACATACAGACACGCATATATATAAATCCAAGGACATGTGCATGTATTCATTCATGCACACCAACACTTATTTAATCATATGGATTTTACTGCCTAACTGCTGCTACATTTGGATAATAGATATATTGCCAGGCTAAGAATTTTTCATAACATAAACTTCAACTAGCGTATTGCTTCTGTAATAGGATGTGCTTTTGTTGAAATAAAGAAACTTTTAATTTTTTACTTCAGTTTCATGAAAAGTAAGGGAGATTAATACTAGTTTTGAATAAATTAAATTTCAATATGATAGTATTTTATGAAAAGAAGTCCATCAAAAAACTGCTGCATCAAATGAATGCTTTTTTTTCTCCCTAATTGTTCAGATTTTAATTGTTTTCTTCCATGGAAATTATAGTAAAAATGACTTGGTATCATTTCAGTTTGAAGAAAAGTCCTTGTGGATGCAGTCGCGAAGCCTGGAGAGTGAGAAGAATGCATCTTCCACTGCTTGTGAAAACATGAACATATCAGACGTCGAAACTGATTTGTCCATCGGATTGCCTAGCCAAGTGTAGTGATTCCTCGTCTTTTAAAACCAACTGGTTCTTGTTTTCTTACTTTCTATGTATGTATATGACTTGCAGAATGTTTTAGAGATTCTCTATTTGCATAAACCATGAAATAAAGTACTAGTACATAAGGGCAGTGTTTTCACGCCGGATCCGGATCCGCGGTCGGATTGCCAAACCCAGTGACCTGGTAAATAATTCGGTTTGGGTTTTAAGAAATATCCACTAATTAAAAACGGGATAAAACCCGCTAAAAACCTTTAAATCGGGTGACCCAGCTATCAGTTGAACCATATGATGAATTAGTGATTAATTTTATTTAGATTTTTCTTTGATTTTTAACTAATTTATTAAATATTTTTACTTGCTATCACATATACTATATATCTCCTCCAATTTTCTTTTAAACCTTTTGTTGATTTCGTTTATAATTAATTGCATTTGTTTTAACCTTCTAGGTTTTAACTTCCATCATATAAATTTTATTTTTGTTCTTTATGTAAATCACATGCTTTTATCTTTTTTTCTTGATTATAAATGTTTCTAAATAAATAATATTTTTTGTGAATCAAATTCATTGTTCAATTCGGTAAAAACATATATAATATCGACTAAATTATTTATTCTGATATTTAGACTTTGATGAATATTCCATTATTCTTTCTAAAAAGTATAATGCACAATGATAGATATCTAAAACTTATGAGATTTAAGTATTGTTATGTTCAACTCCTAATTTCTTACAACAAAGATTTTAAATAATTTTAAAATATTTTATATGTGAAATGAAAATGAAAATAAAAATAAAAGACTAAATTTAAATATTTTCTCTATTTTTAAAAGATGTAAATTCACTTATATTTAAAATAGATAATATAAAATTATATATCAAATTTAATTAATGTATTGCGGTCGAGCGGTTGTATGCGGTCGAGCAAATCATGGTCGACTTAGTAACTTGGTGACCCGGAAAATTATCCGGTTCAGTTTTCGGGTCGGGTTTAAAAACATTGCATATTGCATAAGGGTTATCTTTTGCAATTTTTTTCTTCTATAAAACTGATTTTATTTTTGTGATGTTAGTGGAATGTTTTATATGATTATCACCACAACGTGATTAACAATTTACAAAATGAACATATCTTTAAGTCCTTTTTGCTTTTTACTATAGCTATGATGCCTACTGTTAATAACTCTCCAGAAATCACTAAATATAAACTCTAGAAACTTGATTTCCAAAACTAATATGTATTTTAACTTTTGAGCTATAGATTTAAATTATTTTCTTAGAACATGATTGGTATTAGGCACCTAATTGGTATATTAATGCGACTATGAAAAAAAAAAAGCTGTAGAAAACACTTAAAAAGCATTTACCAGTCACCCTGGTAGAACGGAAAAAACTTTCACTCGATTACAAAGGAGATCAATGATAAATCATGAACTAACCACTTAGAAATCTGCAAGGAAAGTGTACACCTTTATAAATTAATACTAGGTGTTGTGCCCGCATATGCGGGCATAATTTTGATACGAATATTCAGTATTTTTTATTTTATTAATTCTAAATAATATAATAAATTATTTTTTATAGTTTTAAAAAACCTAAATCAAACCGTAATACAATTTATGAATTTTCATCAAAATCTATATGTTTATTATAGTGTTGAAAAATATCCACATAATAAAATATTTTTGAAAATATATTTATATCTTTTCTTAATATTTAATTTTAAATTGTTTTTAACTTACATTTTTATTTTTCACAATAAAAATATTATTTCCAGATAACTATATAATATTCTATAAGATATCTTATGTTTTAAATATGCATGATTGTAGATAATTATCCTCTAATTTATAATAAATTAACTAATATAATAACATATAAATTTCAATCACACTAACATAAAATTCGTTTTAACTAATTTATATATAAATATATAAATTTCATTAAAAGTATAATTTAAGTCTAAATATTTTTAATTAATCTAATATTTATAATCGAATTTATTAACCTTTTATATTGCATAGATTTTTTAATTTTTTCATTGGATAATATCTAATATTTTATTTTATAATTAAAAGTATCTTTATACAAATGTTTTTGTTTGATTAATATTTAATTAAAATCAATTTTTTATTTTAATTTTAAAATATTATAATAGAATGATATTATCTTCAAAAGACAAAATAAATTATATATAAAATTAAGATAATAATAACATATATAAGAAATATTATCTTTTTTATTTTTTTAAACTTATTATATTAATTATTCTCATTTATCTAAGATAATGACATACTTATCTAATTTTATTTTTGAAATTTCGTTTTTAATTATAAAATTAGTTATATATAAAATTTTCATTAAGGGTAAAATAGATATTAAACGCTTTAACTTTTAACGTGAGAGCTCCGTTGCGAAAAATCACTTTGCAAATAATAGTATAGATATATTACATAGAAAGGAGAGTTTCTTTCAAATTTCAAGAACGAGGAGCGGCCATTTGCTGCTTCTTTATCCTCTCATGCGACTTCACCATGCTGCAACACAGCAGGAGAGAGTGAGTCTCATCCAAACATCCACTTCAAAACAGAGTTCAATGGTTGTTGAAAATCAATATGTTTTACCTGATATCATGAGGAGTGATGAACATCCACTGCGCTCCTTGTGCAATTGCAAAATCCACCAGCGCGTCCAAACTGATTTTCCGGCTTACAGCATCCTGGATTCACAGAATAGAGAAGGTTAAATCAAACAGCAACCTCTCATCACAATGTAATTGCTTGTAAATATATAATACCATAAACACATCAAACTCATCCATTGCTCGAAATGGGGCTTCTGTCATCTCGTGAAGAGCTAATGCAAAGCACAAAGTTGAGAAAGAACGTTCTCCGCCTGAAAATCATGTACCAAAACGGAAGCTGTCTTTAGATGACATAGCACAAAGTTGAGAAAGAATGTTGACTTTTCTTTTAGTGGAGAAGGAAGCATTACCTGAAAGACCTTTGGTGTCTCGAACGGCATTACTTGTTGCATCTTGAGGCATTTTAACCTGTCCAAAACCAAAGTCATCAATCAGATGATACAATAACATGGAGATATTACTCACAGATATCTTAGCACAGCAGAGTGACAGTTACCTCTATGGACAAAGTTTTATTTTCATAACTGACTTTGATGTGTCCACTGATACCTTTCTTTCCCAAGTGAGAGTTGAATCTGCTTAGAAGAAAAAACTCATACTAAATCTTAAAGAGATAACCGAACTACAAGTTTATCTAAGTGGTTAGCAATGGGGGGAAAGCAACTCTTACTGCCATGTTAGCTGCCGCCGAAGAAGAGTTGCATTTCTTTGAAACTTCTCCCACCGCGAGTCTAAAGCAGTTTTACATGCCTGATCAAACAATTAATGAACATTAAATCATGTAAGCTATAATAACACACAAAGCTTTAACATAAACAGATCTGCAAAGCTCAAACCATGAGTTTTTCTCGGTAGCCTTGATACAATTTGCGCTTCTTTGCAATCTTTCGTTCTAGTTTCTCATACATCATCCTAAGGTCATCGATTGATTCAGAAAACCTGCACACCAAGTAAATTGAAACATGTGGTTTTACTGTCAAAAGTCTCTTTACTTGTGAAGGACGAGCTGAAAGAGAATACTAAAATACATACTGCTGATTCTCTCGATGAAGTCTCTGATTCATTCTGTTAATCTGTGCACTGAGTTGCTCCGGAGTACTCCCATCCCAGGGTCCCACAGATTCTATCTCACTCTCGGGACAAATCTCAGAGGCCTTCTGGTCGCTTTCCTGAAATTTAAGCACATGTAATTCGTTACCAAAAGATAAAATAAATAACACAAAAAAATGGGCCACAACGAGTCACAAGAAGATGATAAGACTACATAGCCAAGTTCCATAGACTAGACAACACGTGCAACCATGGTTTCAACCCGGCCAGGGTTTAGTTACTTATGTGTGTACCTTTCGCTTATTTTTAAGCTCCTCATTATAAGCCTCAGCCTCTTTGATATCAGGAAGGACCTTGTTTTTCATTATATTCTCGTAATGGATTTTCTCCTGAAACAGAATACGCTTGACCTTCTGCATTCAAAGCAAGTAACAAGATCAATTATATTAAAGCTTTTGATGTTGAGTTTGTAATGGTCCTAGTCCACAATATATATGTCATGCCGTCATGCTTATAAGTATCACTGGTTAGTTATAAAGAGGAAACCAAGACATATTACTTCTATACACGTTTGTATCTCAGATATTTGTTTAGTAATCCCTTCTCCTTATGTACGTAATTTCTCCTAAAAGATTCTGTTATACTACTCCTAAGTATCTACAGCGTGTATTTAATTTACGTTTGAAAAAATATATAACAACGTGTAATGAGGTATACTACTTCACTATTTTTCCGAAAATTTTCTCTGCCATTCTAAAATTCTTTCTAAAACAATAGATGCATTCATTGTAAAAAGGTTTTTTGAAGTGAATAAATTTAAAATTCATTAAAAAAAGTATGATGAAGAGGTTAACTTGAACATAATTCAGCATGAAGAAGATGATGGAACAATGTGAGATAGATAGGAGTGAATATTTTCATATCGAGAGAGGCCAAGGAGAGAAAGATGTGCATGACCTCAAGAACGAAATCACTGTAATGGTGAACAAGATTGAACTTCTTCAACTTCATTGCCGGTTAGCTTTTGATATTTCTATATCTAGTGTATGATTATAATGCAATATACGTTTGTAAATACACTCATGAACGCGATGACATGCATCTTAGAAAGCTTATGGGGCAAGATTTAGGTTCTTGTTCGGTGGAGGAGCTCAACGAAATAACGATCCAGATTGAGAAAAGCCTTATTCTTGTCAGATCAAGAAAGGTAAACTTACATTGAAATTTAATAAAAACATAAGTAAATAGTGCTTTTCAAATCTTTATAGGATGTATTTAAAAATAAAGGTCTTGGACTATGACTAATCCGGGGTTCTTAGAGCATGATTAATCTGAGATTCTTAAGGTGGGGTTTTTAGCGGAAGTTAAGAAAATGTTTCTTAACTTTTAACTAAAAATGCTAAGAATCGGTTCTTAAAATCCTTATTTAAGAACCGGTACTTAGTGTTTTTAGTTAAAAGTTAAGAAATAGTTTCTTATCTTCCGCTAAGAATCCCACCCTAATAACTCTGGGTTAATCATGCTCTTAGGGATGTCTTTATATAAGTTTCTAAGTGATTAGCTATCATCAAACCAGTTTATTGATCATTCCGGATTCTACCAAAACAAATTGCAGGCTAAAGTACATGAAGATGAGGTAAAGAAACTAAAAGCGGAGGTAATATTACTAATTTGTACTTTAGTTGGTTCTTAGTGGCATTGACTTTCTAATATTCATGTGTTGTGGTTTGATCTCATTAGATTACAGGAGCGAGAGAGCTCTTGAACGAGAGAACTACGCTGCACGAAATGGTACACACGCACACACGCATATATATAAAATCCAAGGACATGTTCATGTATTCATTCATGCACACCAACACTTATTTAATCATGGGTTTTACTGTCTAACTGCTGCTACATTTGGATTATATATAGATATATTGCCGGGCTATGATTTTTTCATAACATAAACTTCAACTAGTGTATTGTCTCTGTAGTAGGATGTGCTTTTGTTGAAATAAAGAAACTTTAATTTACTTCAGTTTCATGAAACAAATTGTGGTACATTAATACTAGTTTTGAATAAATTTCAATTTGATAGTATTTTATGAAAAAAGGTCCATCAAAAACTGCATCTAATTAATTACTCAGATTTTAATTGTTTTCATCCATGGAAATTATAGTAAAAATAACTTGTTGTCATTTCAGTTTGAAGAAAAGTCCTTGTGGATGCAGTCGCGGAGCCTAGAAAGTGAGAAGAATGCATGTTCCTCTGCTTGTGAAAACATGAACATATCGGAAGTCGAAACTGATTTGTCCATCGGATGGCCTAGAAGCCAAGTGTAGTCATTCCTCGTATTTTAAACCTACTGGTTCTTGTTTTCTTACTTTCTAAATATGTATATGACTTGCAGAATGTTTTAGCGATTCTCTATTTGCATAAACCATGAAATAAAGTACTAGTACATAAGGGTTATCTTTTACAAAAAAATTCTTCTATAAAACTGTTTTTATTTTTGTGATGTTAGTGGAATGTTTTATATGGTTATCACCACAACGTGATTAACAATTTACAAAATGAACATTTCTTTAAGCAAGTCCTTTTTGCTTTTTACTATAGCCATGATGCCTACTGTTAATAACTCTCCAAAAAACACTAAATATAAACTCTTAAACTTGATTTCCAAGGTCAAAAAAAAGAAACTTGATTTCCAAAACTAATATGTATTTTAACTTTTGAGCTATAGATTTAAATTATTTTCTTAGAACATGATTGGCATTAGGCGCCTAATCCCCTATATATTATTTGAGAATCATTTAAAAAGTTGTAACCTTAAGTTTGTAAGAATTAAAAATAACCTCAATCCTACGTGGCATATCTCTTTGGCTTTTATTTCAAATTCTAAGGATTCTAGAGCATGTGATATAATGTATAGTTTAAAATTTATATTCTCTAGCAATAAATTTTTCGTAGCCTATAGTTGGTCGCATATATCAAATATTTATTGTTTCGCATGCTTTCCTTAAATAAAACCTATGGAATTACCTAATGTGATTAAAATATATATATGACAATTAATGATTTTAAACAATAAAGATTTAATAACAATCTGTATACTTTTTTTCATTTTGTTTATTTCTTTATTATTAAAATAAATTACACAATTACAATAATCATATAATAAAAATTTAGATTTTTTTTGTGTATGTTGTATTTCAAATTTTTCAAAATGAGTATAAATTACTAAAACTGTTAAAAGTCCCACATAAACTTTTAAGATCAAGGTTTTTTTTTTCTATACTAAAATATAATGATTATAAGACCATATGAAGAAATAATTTTAGTTTATATATATTTCATATCATTTTAATTAAACTATACATCGTATGAAAATACATACTTATATTTTGATATTTTCCTTGAACATATATTGAAAATTAATATTTTAATTTTGAAATATGTCATTGTTTTTTTTAAATGATTATAAATTATTGAAACTACTAAACATCTCACATTAAAAAACTCGTTAGTGTAAAGTTTTGTTACACAAATATGCAAATAATCATAAAATCATATGAGTAGAAACCTCATTTAATAAATATCCATATTAAAACTGTGCTATATTACTATGTTTATATCATTTAGATTTAATTATATATCATATACAATATATAAGATTGATTATTTTAATTTATTTACCCTAATTGTGAATAAACAAGAGTAATAGTTAAATTTATATGCATACACCAATTTATTACATAATAGTAACTCATTTCTTAGTTATTTAATATATATATTTATTATTTTATTATTTATAATATGCAGAAAAATATAAAATAAATAATAAATATAAAATATTTATTGTGCATAAAGTGCAGATCTTAACCTAAGTATGTATATGTTTAATTATTTTGAATCTTAAATATTTTCTAAATTTCAGGTCAAAACAAACAAAGGAAATGAGAACAAAATTCAAAATAAATATTTATATCGAATAATAACCAAAATATAAAAAAAACATAGCAAGAGAAAAATGGAAAATAAATAGGATTGACACGTGAACGTAAACATCTCATAACCATAATTAATTTTTAAATTGTTAAATCATGATATAAAACTGAGTTAATTTTTAATTTGTTAACTTTTTTTTTTAAATTTTTTAAATCATTATGATTATGTTAAATCATGACCATAATTAATTTTAAATTGTTTATTTATATTTGAAAAACTTAAAATATTTTTTAAAAAAAATAATTTAAAATTTAACATAATCTTTTAGAAAATTATTTTAAAAAATAATAATTTGTAAAAAATATATTTTTCTAATATTATTAGACAAATAAATAAATTATATTAAATTAGTTTAGAAACTTTATATATTTTAAATGCAAATATTTTACCAATCCCTTATATATTAAAGGAGAAACATTTAAAAAATTGTAACCTCAATTTTGTAATAATTAAAAAAGACTTCATGTTTAGGTGTCACTCAATTAGGTAGTCAATTACATTCAATTGAAAAATAAGTAGGTCCACATTCGATTTTTATATGTCGCTAGATACATTCGTTGGTCAAATTAAATGATATGATGATATGATATGATATTTATGATAGAAGCATTTATGATTGTTCCCCTAGATATAATTACTATTTTATCTTCTTTCTATAAATAAAACCTACGCAATTACCATAAATGACTAATATATATATATGACACTTAATGATTCTAATAATAAATATTTGATAACAGTTTATATATCCTCCATCATTTTTTCTTAAATTTTATATTATTAAAATAAATCAAACAATCAAATTATCTATAAAATTAAACTTTAGATTTTTCGTATAGGTTATATTTTGAATTTTAAAAAACGAGAATAAATAACTAAACTATTAAAATTAATTAATGATCAATAGTTTAACATTTTTATTATAAAAAGATATACATGATTTTAAAACCATGTAAGTAAAAAGTATCATTCAATAATAAAATAAATATATATACAGATTAAACTATATACCATATAAGATTACATAAATATTTTAATTTCAAAATCCTCAATAAATTTTCAAGAACATTTATAAATTATAAAATTATTAAATTTTTCACATTGAAAAATTTTGTTATCAATGATTTAAATATCTTAGTTCTTTTTTAATTTTATATTTTTAAAAAATATTAACAATCGATAATATGATTATTTTTGGTATATACCATACAAACCGAATGGATGTGATTTTTTAAAAACCATAGGATTTGGATATGGTTTGATTTATAACCGATTAAACTGAAACATGTAAATATTTATATATTTATAACGACGCATAAATATCTATTTGTTACATGATTTGAACTATAATTATAATTTGTAAATAGCTAACAATTTATTACAACTTAGACGTCTTATTTTGATCTTTTGTTTTTTTAACAGTAATTAAATTGAAGTAAAGATTATAAATTTGATGGACAACAATTAGTTGAAATTCGTTACAACTTTTTTTTATCTTTAAACAAACAGAATTGTGTTAAATCGAAGACATATTGGTTTGGTGAACACTAAATATGGAAGAATATAAAAACTTTTCTTTCATGCTTCTGTTTTGTTTTTTATTTTTATTTTCAAAATTTAGTGTTTTGGTATTAATTCTAGATTTGATCATTTTATTAGATGATAGAAACCTTTTTTGTTTTTTATTCTTTTTTTTAAATATATAATATTTTTTTTAATAAATGACTCTGTGACAGTATGACTCTATGATCATATTATATATAGTATGATCTCAAACTAAATAATCATGTTTTTTGATATAAAATTGAATAAACTGAAAACCGATGGTATATAAACCAAATTAAAATGAAGTACATATAGATTTAGAATAGTAAAATCTAGCCGAACCGAAACCCGATATCCAGATTGAACACCTCTAATACGAATGAAACTGAACTATTATTTCATTTTCAAAACATAATAAAAATAATAGTTTCATCCCGCGCAAGGCGCGGGTCTTACCCTAGTTGGTATATTAATGCGACTATGAAAAAAAAAAGCTGTAGAAAACCCTTAATAGCATTTACCAATCACCCTCGTAGAACGGGAAAAACTTTCACTCGGTTACAAAGGAGATTGATGATAAATCATGAACTAACCACTTAGAAATCTGCAAGGAAAGTGTACACCTTTATAAATTAATATATTACATAGAAAGGAGAGTTTCTTTCGAATTTCAAGAACGAGGAGCGGCCATTTGCTGCTTCTTTATCCTCTCATGCGACTTCACCATGCTGCAACACAGCACGTGAGTAGTGTGAGTCTTCATCCAAACATCCACTTCAAAAAAGAGTTCAATGGTTGTTGAAAAATTAATCTGTTACCTGATATCATGAGGAGTGATGAACATCCACTGCGCTCCTTGTGCAATTGCAAAATCCACCAGCGCGTCCAAACTGATTTTCCGGCTTACAGCATCCTGGATTCACAGAATAGAGAAGGTTAAATCAAACAGAAACCTCTCATCACAATGTAATTGCTTGTAAACATATAATACCATAAACACATCAAACTCATCCATTGCTCGAAATGGGGCTTCTGTCATCTCGTGAAGAGCTAATGCAAAGCACAAAGTTGAGAAAGAACGTTCTCCGCCTGAAAATCATGTGCCCATAACAGAAGCTGTCTTAGATGACATAGCAAAGAGTTACATATGTTTGGCTTTTCTTTTAGTGGAGAAGGAAGCATCACCTGAAAGACCTTTGGTGTCTCGAACGGCATTACTTGTTGCATCTTGAGGCATCTTAACCTGTCGAAACATCAATCAGATGATGTAATAACATGGAGATATTACTCACACATATCTTAGTATAGCAGAGTGACAGTTACCTCTATGGACAAAGTTTTATTTTCATAACTGACTTTGATATGTCCACTGATACCTTTCTTTCCCAAGTGAGAGTTGAATCTGCTTAGAAGAAAAAACTCATACTAAATCTTAAAGAGACAACCGAACTACAAGTTTATCTACGTGGTTAGCAATGAGGGAAGGCAACTCTTACTGCCATGTTAGCTGGCGCCGAAGAAGAGTTGCATTTCTTTGAAACTTTTCCCACCGCGAGTCTAGAGCAGTTTTACATGCCTGATCAAACAATTAATGAACATTAAATCATGTAAGCTATAATAACACACACAAAGCTTTAACATAAAAAGATCTGCAAGGCTCAAACCATGAGTTTTTCTCGATAGCCTTGATACAATTTGCGCTTCTTTGCAATCTTTCGTTCTAGTTTCTCATACATCATCCTAAGGTCATCGATTGATTCAGAAAACCTGCACACCAAGTAAATTGAAA